CACACGGTGCCAGGTGCGCCACACGGTGCCGAGTGCGCCACACGGTGCCGGGGTGCGCCACACGGTGCCGGGGTGCGCCACACGGTGCGGAGTGCGCACACGGTGCCGAAGGTGCGCCACACACAGTGCCGGGGTGCGCCACACGGTGCCGGGGTGCGCCACACGGTGCCGGGGTGCGCCACACACGGTACCGGGGTGCGCCACACACGGTGCCGGGGTGCGCCGTGGGCCACACGGTGCCGGGGTGCGCCGTGGGCCACACACGGTGCCGAAGGTGCGCCGTGGGCCACACACGGTGCCGGGGTGCGCCGTGGGCTACTGCCGGGTGCGCCGTGGGCCACTTACACGGTGCCGGGGTGCGCCGTGGGCTACGGTGCCGGGGTGCGCCGTGGGCCCCACGGTGGGGTGCGCCGTGGGCCCCACACGGTGCCGGGGTGCGCCAAATGGGCCCCACACAGTGCCGGGGTGCCGTGGGCCCCACGGTGCCGGGGTGCGCCGTAAGGCTTTACGGTGCCGGGGTGCGCCGTGGGCCCCACACGGTGCCGAAAATTAAGCCGTGGGCCCCACACGGTGCCGGGGTGCGCCGTGGAGCCCACGGTGCCGGGGTGCGCCGTGGGCCCACACGGTGCCGGGGTGCGCCGTGGGCCCACACGGTGCCGGGGTGCGCCGTGGGCCACACACGGTGCCGGGAACACCGTGGGCCACACGGTGCCGAGGTGCGCCGTGGGCACACACGGTGCCGGGGTGCGCAAATGGGCCACACACACGGTGCCGGGAATTGCGCCGTGGGCACACACGGTGCCAGGGGTGCGCCGTGGGCCACACACACCCCAGTGCCGGGGTGCGCCGTGGGCCACACACGGTGCCAGGGTGCGCCAAGTGGGCCACACGGTGCGGGGTGCGCCGTGGAGCGCACACGATGCCGGGGTGCCGTGGGTGCGCCGTGGGCCACACACACGGTGCCGGGGTGTGCCAATGGGCCACACACGGGTGCCGGGGTGCGCCGTGGGCCACACACGGTGCCGGGGTGCGCCGTGGGCCACACACGGTGCCGGGGTGCGCCGTGGGCCACACACGGTGCCGGGGTGCGCCGTGGGCCACACACGGTGCCGGGGTGTGCCGTGGGCCACACACGGTGCCGGGGTGTGCCGTGGGCCACACACGGTGCCGGGGTGTGCCGTGGGCCACACACGGTGCCGGGGTGTGCCGTGGGCCACACACGGTGCCGGGGTGTGCCGTGGGCCACACACGGTGCCGGGGTGTGCCGTGGGCCACACACGGTGCCGGGGTGTGCCGTGGGCCACACACGGTGCCGGGGTGTGCCGTGGGCCACACACGGTGCCGGGGTGTGCCGTGGGCCGCCTGGAGTGCCAGGGGTGCCGTGGGCCACTGGGTGCCAGGGTGTGCCAGCCGGGCACTGGAGTGCCAGAGAGGGTGTGTCGTGGGCCACCCTGAGTGCCAGGGGTGTGTCGTGGGCCGCACAGGTGCTGGGGTGTGTCGTGGGTACCCCTGAGTGCCGGGGTGCGCCGTGGGCCACACACGGTGCCGGGGTGCGCCGTGGGCCACACACGGTGCCGGGGTGCGCCGTGGGCCACACACGGTGCCGGGGTGCGCCGTGGGCCACACAAGGTGCCGGGGTGTGTCGTGGGCCACACAAGGTGCCGGGGTGTGTCGTGGGCCACACAAGGTGCCGGGGTGTGTCGTGGGCCGCACAAGGTGCCGGGGTGTGTCGTGGGCCGCACAAGGTGCCGGGGTGTGTCGTGGGCCGCACAAGGTGCCGGGGTGTGTCGTGGGCCACACAAGGTGCCGGGTGTGTCGTGGGCCACCAAGGTGCCAGGGTGTGTCGTGGGCACACAGGTGCCAGGGGTGTGTCGTGGGCCACACAAGGTGCCAGGGGTGTGTCGTGGGCCACACAAGGTGCCAGGGTGTGTCGTGGGCCACACAAGGTGCCAGGGGTGTGTCGTGGAGCCACACAAGGTGCCAGGGGTGTGTCGTGGGCCACACAAGGTGCCGGGGTGTGTCGTGGGCCACAGGTGCCAGGGGTGTGTCGTGGGCACACAAGGTGCTGCCAGGTGTGTCGTGGGCCACACAAGGTGCGAGGGTGTGTCGTGGGCCACACAAGGTGCCGGGGTGTGTCGTGGAGCCACACAAGGTGCCGGGGTGTGTCGTGGGCCACAAGGTGCCAGGGTGTGTCGTGGGCCACACAGGTGCCAGGGGTGTGTCGTGGGCCCACACAAGGTGCCAGGGTGTGTCGTGGGCCACACAAGGTGCCAAGGGTGTGTCGTGGGCCACACAGGTGCCGGGGTGTGTGTCGTAAAAAGGTGCCAGGTGTCGTGGGCCACACAAGGTGCCGGGGTGTGTCGTGGGCCACACAAGGTGCCGGGTGTGTGGGGCCACACAAGGTGCCAGGGGGTGTGTCGTGGGGCCCACACAAGGTGCCAGGGGTGTGTGTGGGCCACACAAGGTGCAGGGGTGTGTCGTGGGCCACACAAGGTGCAAGGTGTGTCGTGGGCCCACACAAGGTGCCGGGGTGTGTCGTGGGCCCACACAAGGTGCCGGGGTGTCGTGGGCCACACAAGGTGCCGGGGTGTCGTGGGCCCACAAGGTGCCAGGGTGTGTCATAGCCACACAAGGTGCCAGGGTGTCGTGGGCCACCTAGGTGCCGGGGTGTGTCGTGGGCCACACAAGGTGCCAGGGTGTGTCGTGGGCCACACAAGGTGCCAGGGGTGTCGTGGGCCACACAAGGTGCCGGGGTGTGTCGTGGGCCACACAAGGTGCCAGGGTGTCGTGGGCCACACAAAGGTGCCAGGGGTGTGTCGTGGGCCACACAAGGTGCCGGGGGTGTGTCGTGGGCCCACACAAGGTGCAGGGGTGTGTCGTGGGCCACAAGGTGCCAGGGTGTGTCGTGGGCCACACAAGGTGCAGGGGTGTCGTGGGCCACACAAAGGTGCCAGGGTGTGTCGTGGGCCACACACAAGGTGCCGGGGTGTGTCGTGGGCCACACAAGGTGCCAGGGGTGTGTCGTGGGCCACACAGGTGCAGGGTGTGTCGTGGGCCACACAAGGTGCCAGGGGTGTGTGTGGGCCACACAAGGTGCCAGGGGGTGTCGTGGGCCACACAAGGTGCCAGGGTGTGTCGTGGGCCACACAAGGTGCAGGGTGTGTCGTGGGCCACACAAGGTTTCCAGGGTGTGTGGGGCCACACAAGGTGCCAGGGGTGTGTCGTGGGCCACACAAGGTGCCGGGGGTGTCGGGGCCACACAAGGTGCCAGGGTGTGTGGGGCCCCCACCAGAGGTGTGTCGTGGGCCACACAGGTGCCAGGGTGTGTCGTGGCACCCAAGGTGCCAGGGGTGTGTCGTGGGCCACACAAGGTGCCGGGGTGTGTCGTGGGCCCAGAGTGCCAGGGGTGTGTCGTGGCCACACAAAGGTGCCGGGGTGTCGTGGAGCACACAAGGTGCCAGGGTGTCGTGGGCCACACAAGGTCCCGGGGTGTGTCGTGGGCACACAAGGTGCCAGGGGTGTGTCGTGGGCCACACAAGGTGCAGGGGTGTGTGTGGGCCACACAAGGTGCCAGGGTGTGTCGTGGGCCACACACAAGGTGCCAGGGTGTGTCGTGGGCCACACAAGGTGCCAGGGTGTCGTGGGCCACACAAGGTGCAGGGTGTGTGTGGGCCACACAAGGTGCCCAGGTGTGTCGTGGGGCCACACAAGGTGCCAGGGGTGTAATAGGGCCACACAAGGTGCCAGGGTGTGTCGTGGGCCACACAAGGTGCCAGGGTGTCGTGGGCCCACAAGGTGCCAGGGTGTGTCGTGGGCCACACAAGGTGCCAGGGTGTGTCGTGGGCCCCCAAGGTGCCCAGGGTGTGTCGTAGGCCACACAAGGTGCCAGGGTGTGTCGTGGGCCACACACAAGGTGCCAGGGTGTGTCGTGGGCCACACAAGGTGCGTGTGTCGTGGGCCACAAGGTGCCAGGGTGTGTCGTGGGCAACACAAGGTGCAAGGTGTGTCGTGGGCAACACAAGGTGCCAGGGTGTGTCGTGGGCAACCAAGGTGCCAGGGTGTGTCGTGGGCAACACAAGGTGCCAAGGGTGTCGTGGGCCACAAAGGTGCCAAGGGTGTGTCGTGGGCCACACCAAGGTGCCAGAGGTGTGTCGTGGGACACACAAGGTGCCAGGGTGTGTCGTGGGCAACACAAGGTGCCAGGGTGTGTCGTGGACGCCTAGGTGCCAGGGTGTGTCGTGGAGCAACACAAGGTGCCAGGGTGTGTGTGGGCAACACAGGTGCCAGGGTGTGTCGTGGGCAACACAAGGTGCCAGGGTGTGTCTGGGCCACACAAGGTGCCAGGGTGTGTCGTGGGCAACACAAGGTGCCAGGGTGTGTCGTGGGCAACACAGGTACGTGATTCAGATGGGGTACCGTTATTATAAACCTTTCCAGATTAATTAGGAGAAAAGAAGGTAAGTGGAGGGAGTGGAGTCGATAGGCGACGTAGGTACATGTAGTTAATCTGCTGGTCAAGGAAGTAGGGAGACTATCATCAATATTTCTTCCGTCAAGTATTGCACGAGAAGAAACCGTTTTGATCCAGAATGTACCGCGATAGTGGGCGAGTTTTTTTTTGAGGAGGAGGAGGAGGATTGGTGTTATCAGCTGTGCTCCCAGAATGTCACTGTAAATAATGTAACATTTTTGTATCACTAGGCACCGTCTCCCTCTGAAGTTGCTTAAGGGTTCAAACCACGAGGAATCCCCCCATTAATATTCAAATTACCCTTAAAGTAGTACCTCCCAGACAAGAGTGCTAGGCTCGTGTACCTAGACTTTTTCATCTTGGTAGTGAAATGTTAGTACAGGAGGACACCCGAGCATCAAGAAAACCGGCCATATTCAGTACCGTCACTAGATCCCAGGCCTCCGTAGTTAAGAGGCGCGAGCACACACTACCTTAACGTGTATTGATGCGCTACAGGTATCCAGTAAAAAGAACTGAAGGAGATTTATTAAAATTTATTTTATATGCGGCACAATGGAAAGAGGAAAAACTAGTTTAAATCTTCAGTAAGGATTTGGTTCACTGTACTGGATATCCAGGTGGGCGTGTATGAAGGAGAGGTATTCGTGGACGGGCGTGAACACCTGGTGGCTCTTGTGTCGTTTGTGGTAGCTCTCGTCACTACACTTGTTGAGGCTGTGACCCACACCCATCACGTACCACTTTTCACTGTCGAATCTCTCCTTCCCATATGCGTTGATGATGCGCGAGTTTGAAGACTCGTATTTGTTAGACCTGGTGTTGCCGTATGGGTATCCGTGCTGGCCAGTGTGGAAGGGATCATCAGTATAAAATTGTGCTTTCCGACATACAAGTATGGGAGTAGAGTCGTCCTGAAAGGAGGAGGATAGCATTACACTAAATTATGAAGAGCATCTTAAATAACGTATCTACAAAGATTAATTATGTTTTTTACATAAACTAGACTTTATAATAGCTGTCCAAATGTTGGGATTCCTCTGCTATATTTTTTATTATTAAACATTCACAAAAACACGAACGTACAACGAACTCAAAATTATTCTAACAAGAAAAAAACTAACATTTGAATAAAATTTAACGAAGACTAATACATGGCACCTTTCGTGAAGTAATTACTAGAAAGTAACCTCCGTACAGCTTGGGAGCGACACGACTGATAAGCATGACAGCCAAATGCTTACGACTGTTTTTTTTACAGGAATTAGCCCACCCGGGCACAGGTCGAACGACCTATAACGGGGCCTGGGGGGATAAAAACTAAAAATAGAGAAGAAAAAGGTTATACCGTGTTAATCTACACCCACAGTACTGGTAGTTTATCTCTTCAACACAGCAAGTTGAAGCTCTGATGGGCTATAGGAAGGTCGTAGCTCACGGTTCATATTTTATATAATAGTCAAAGGCACCAAACTGCAGAGAAACCCTACGATACTGATCATTTGTATAATATTCCTAATCATAACACTGCGTCAATACGTCACGACACAGTGGTGGTGGTGTTGCCCTGTATGTTGATATGAAGTATAGCACTTCTAAGACGATTTAAAGGTTCCAGAGGAATTCATGTGGAGTGGTTTTCACTAAATTCCGTAACGACACGAAATATCCTAGTACGAGTAATCTACAGACGACCCCACACTATTGTAAGGAACTTTATAAATTTTCGGAACTTCTCTTTCATTAGTTTACAGAGGAAACTTTGCTACATCACAGAAGATTTCAACCTTGACCTATTAAAATCAGGAACTGGCACCTCAGTAATAGTCTATTACTAATAGACCTCTTATTACCTGTCATTTGAAGCTGTTCAACACGATAACCAAACCCACCAGAGTAACTGCCACTCTGATAGTGAAATTATTTACAACAATACCTCGGAATACTTCCCAGTTTTTGTCATGTATAAATCAGTCAAATCCTGAAAGATCTAGTTGTTTCAATAAAATACAAAGACTACTGCGCCGACAAGAAGCTCCTGCTTGAAAACGACCTAATGAATGCTGAGTGCGATCTTGTTGGTCTGAGAACCCTAACGTGAGCTGCTGCACTTCTCTTGCACCTTCAGTGCTTGCTTTGATAAATGTTTCCCCTCAAGACGAGGTTAGTAAAAACTATCTTACTCTAAACCCTATTTTACAAGTGGAATCAAGGCAATGATAAAAGAAACTACAAAGAAAATTTGCAAAAAATCAATATCTTTCGGCGATGCTTACCGAAGTATCAGAAAAAGAGTAACCTTAGACATTAGAAATGCCAGACGTAGCTATTACGCAAATAAGCTCCAGTCAGCATCAGGCAACCGCAAGGAAACTTCCCTGCTTTTATGATAAACGATTCAGTTGTAACGGAACCCTCCCTCATTAACAACCACTTCAAGTACTTAATGGTAGCAAAAATCTTGCAAAGAGCGTCCCTAATCACCACGAGGAATTAAAGCCTACCTGCAAAGCAGAAAGCAAAAGGAGTTCTTATCCCTTCACGGCAGAGGAATTATTGACCACAAAAATGCAGCAGCAGGCAAAGACAATATACCAATGAGCATCATTAAGAAAGTAGCCCACTTATTACTACCTGTTCTACACATATGTTGTAACTCCTTCACTAGTGGCGTCTTTCCGGATGAACTAAAAATTGCTCAGTTCACCCAGCAGATAAAAATAATCTGGGGATAATGGTCTTTTCAAGAATTACCACCCCATATCAGTCCTCCCAGCTTTAGGATACTGGAGAAGCTAGCGTGGAGTAGAATATTCCTTTTGCAGTGTCAATAACATTCTTAGACTCCGTTTGGATTTAGAGCTGGAAGGTCGACTGAGAGGGCTCTGCTATCCCTGACCAATGACCTTTTAAAATCCTTTGCCAACAGTCAGTTCAGTCTGAATATTCCTGGATCCTCTCTAAAGCCTTTGATACTGTCAACCATACCATCCTCCTGTCAAAGCTTGACAATTACGGCGTTAGGGGCTGTTAACGCTCATAGGAGCATTATTGATTTGTTGTTGGAGAAATAAACCCATAACGATGACGCGTACCATATAATTCGGTCAAAACCTGTTAAAGAACAATTCACATAAAACAAATGCTGTTATCTCAAGACATAGTATGAGTAATACAAACAATATAGTGTCAACATCTTAAATAAAACTAGTGTTACAACTGTTGATACATCAGGAAACAATTTGTATATAATCAAATACAGTACATAAATATACTTATTAAAAAGTTATTTAGAGTTTTTAGATGATTTAGTAGTTCACAATCACACTCGCGTTTTAGAGTCTAGGGTTTGACCAACGAGAGCTGGTGTAATATCTTCTTGGTATATGTTAGGTGGACGAGAGCTGGTGTAATATCTTCTTGGTATATGTTAGGTGGACGAAAGGTGTTCTCTCCTGCAGGGAACGATATACTGCCTCTGAGAGCAATCGTAGCCCTAAGCGACGACCATCTGTTTTATATTTAAAACACCTCGGCAAATTCGTCGTCGTCACCCTCTCTTTCTCTCTCGTCTAGTTTATCTTATTGTGGCTCTCTCTCTCTGTCTGTGTGTGTGTGTGTGTGTGTGTGTGTGTGTGTGGGGGGTAACAGGGGCTTATCCCACAATTGGTTTACCTCGTATCTGTAACAGGAAGCAGTATGTCTGCTATAATAATCCATCTGACTTCACCAATTTTGCATGACGTCCCTCAAGGCGCCATTTTCGGTCCTGTATTGTTCTTACTGTACATAGACGATAAAGTTCACTCTAGCAATCCTAGAATACAGCTTATATGCAGACGATAGTAGTCTATGCCAGCAACTCTTCTCCGTTCCTTGAGAACTATGAACACTGAATTGAGCAAGTGAGGACCTACCACCAGACTTGGACCCCCTGAACCTTGGTAATAGTCTTCAAACGTGAAGAAAATACTAAATTCCTTGGGTTTATTGTTGAAAAGAAACTTGGCTGGAGAAACCACATGCAAGTCATTCACAGTAAAGTCAATAAACAGTGCGGTAACCTGTATCGCACTCTTCAGTCACTTACAATTAAAAATTTATTATCTTGTTTACCAATACTTGTTACACACACTAAGGGAGTTCTGGCTCTTCAAAAACACAACCCCTTATTACTGTACAAAAGAGTGGTGTGGACATTGACCTAACAGAAAACCTGATCACACTTCCGAACCATTTGCTAAATTGAAAATGTTAAAATTCGAGGATATTAACACCTACTGCTGTGCCCTATTTGTTTATAAATCGGTCAATCACTTGATGGACAATAATTATTTCCAGTTCCGGAATAAGAGATACAACTTAAAGACACCCAGAGCGCTCCTCAGTCCCAGACCTCCATAAAATATCATGGTTGGAAGGGGTGGACCAACTTGCCCCCACCCATCCGAGCAAAGACTAAACTCCCTTCCATTAAATCTTAAAGTATCTCTTGTCCAAGTATTAATATTTTTGTAAAACCTACTTTACATTCCTACCTTTATTGTACCACCAAAACCGGTATAACAGAAATTCTCATGTAGACAACTAGAAATTACCATTGCAATAATTAGATTTGCCGACAAGAAATGATGCCGACAGTTCTGTCCTCTTGTTCCACGTTAATACAACCCACGTTGTACTGATTCCCTCATCATATTTATGTATATCAAACACCACTGTAAAATATGTATGCACTTCTAATATAAACGAAAACAAAAATAAAAATATAAATAATGAATTGATAATCGTGGTAACATTCAGATAGGTTCTTACTACCACCATCTTACGTCAACTATTACAGTCGATACTAAATGTAACCCTTCTTCCTCGATATAAATGTACAGTATATATCAGGTGCATTCAAGAGATCTTAGGCTCTCAACTGGTTCAGCCATGATGATATTAACGACTCTGTATCGGTCTTTCTGGTTAAATAATCTTTCAATACAAGGTTCTTGCAGGACTCGGCAGCCAAGAACCATATTGGTGTTCATAGTACAGCGGCATAGCCAAACAATTGTGCATTTTATGATGAAAGCATCTACGTTGGCACAGATATAGAGTAATACATAGTAAATATCTTCAGATATGGAACCACTAGAACAGGGGTTCTCAACCGGGGGGGAATTTCCCCCCCTCAGGTTTTAAGGGGGGGGGGAAACTGATACTAATATGGAAAAAATAAAGGATTTTCAGTATTATATGCATAATATTTGGAATGCACTTTTTGAGGCAGACAATCTTGGAAAGGAGGGGGAATGACATTCTGACATATGGTGAAAGGGGTTTATGGGGCAAACAAGGTTGAGAACCACTGCACTAGAAACTCAACCTCTGTGGGCGCCATATTGAATTTCAAGATGGCCGCCGTTCAGGATATGCTAAACTATGCGCTTCTGTTTTTACGGTTGCATATTTCATTCCAATGCATCAATATACATAATCCGGGTTACGAAAATTATTTGTGATAGTTTTCGAAGTTTATTACAGTGAAAAAGACAAGTAAAAGCATTACTGGAAAATTAACATACAAATTTTCCGACCTCCAAAAACTTAATTTTTTTTTCTTATCATTCGGCTATTGAGGCCAAATCTCTAGATATTTGGCCTTAACAGCCACCTTCACAAAGTCCAGTGCATTTAAGTGCAGCTTTTTTGCACCTACACTTGCCACCAGTGTTTTCTGCAACGGCAAGAGATGAGCTCGTGGCATGACTGACACTTCAGAGTGTGGTCCAGAGTGGTTCCAGCTCATCACCCGACTTCATCCAACCCCAGTCACATAGTGATGGCAGACTGACTAACGCTATTGTGGCCTGTCCCCAGATATGTCCAGCCTGATAAGCAGTTCTCTTTATGTGCTGCTCCAGAGCTGCTCGTGTTGGTGGGAGATGCTCCAGTGATCTTGATTTTCTTGAAAACAGTTTCTTTCTCAGCATGTTCACGTCACAGCATGTGCTCGCACGGTCATAGAGCAGCACGATGGACCTCTCCAATGACGACAGGATACCATCAGGTAGCTCACTTGGGGTGGAAGCCAGACTGAGGAAGGCGGTTGTCACTTCCGGAAATGCATTCCATGTGGCCCAGGCTGCCTTCTTGCTATGACCTGTAAAGGCAGATACCGTGTCGCAGCCCGTTATTGCGTTTAACACTGGAAGAGCTCTCGACTTCTGAAGTCCCAGGGCCTTTGCAATCTGATGTGCTGCTATGTAACGTCGATTCTTTCCTGTGCCAAAAGTAAGCCGTATTTCATCTAGTATCTCACTCCATTCATTCGCTAGACCAACTGTAAGGATGACAACATCTGTATCGACGGTACGAATGAGTATTCACCTATGACCACATTCCAAGGCATCAGCTGCATGAACCATCATCCTAGTGTCGGCCTCTTCGTGGTTGCATGGTGCCAACTTGGCAGTGTCCTTCCGGGGTGGAACAGGGAGTCCCGGTTTCTTGTCTGACAACCAGCTGTTTACTTTCTTTGACAACCAACTGCATAACCTGTTCTGACAGGAAACTGAAGAGTTCCTCTTTGTTGTCACTGTTGCAGAAAAAGTTTTGCCAGTTGCTAGGTAGAGGACCAGAGGCAGTGACCCGTCTTCGAATGCCCTTGCCACGGTCGAGATCGATATTCGAGCTGTGATTCAATATAGGGAATGAATACAGCTGTGCTGTATTCTTGAAATGTCCTACTGCCTCCTGGCTTCATTTCCACAACGGCAGGTCCATCGAGTATAATTGAGGTGACATGTGGAGCGTCAGTGATCTTGTCAGCAAGCTGTTCAAGGGGTGTGAGCAAGTCGGCCTTCTTGATGAGGCGGAGTTTCCCATTACTGGAGTGTGCTGGTGGATAGGCCTGGTTTTCATGCTTGAAGAATTCGTCCAAATCATCCTCTCTTGTTTGACAGGCTATGTAGAGCCTGGAGAAGAGTCCACAGTCGTCTTTTGCGAAGGCTAGTTGCTGCTTACTCCAAGTTGGAGACTTGGATTTCATATAACTGAATAGTGTTAGCTTGTTGAGCTTAATAGGGTCACCAATAGGATTAGACTTGTCTTCAAGGAATTGTTCTCGTCCAAGCTTGACAACATTTTGCACACTCTTCATGGCTTCTGGACACAGATTTCCTGTGTATGAAGAACCAATAGGTCAGCACTTCTTCGAATGGGTTTCCCATTTCTTCCACGACAAGTGGAAGCGTTTCACATCCTGAAGAAACTTGTCCTGCGTCGTGTTGGTTTGCTCATGATGGTGGAAGTTAGCCTTGGTTTGCTCAGCTTTATGCGACGATTCAAATTCAGCAATGACCCGTGCTACTTCTGTACCTGCAACCATCCACCGTCGAAGTGCACTAGGGTTTCCAGTCAAACCGACTGCACCACCATCACCTTTAATGCAGGCATTGTTCTGCTCATGGGCCTGGTCTAGTGCTACTGCAGAAAAACGGCGGGCTGTCTTTTTTGCAGTGAAATGTCCAGTTTGAAACATTGCAGCCACATCAGGATGCTGATCCGAGAGCTCGTCATGTCCTTCAGGTGGACTGGAACCCACCGAGAATAAGGAGTATGATCTAAGGCGAAGAACCACTGACAGTTCAGCCAGAGCATCCATGTATAGCGAGAAGTTGGATTCTCGTAGTGATCTAACAAACAAAGATACTTAGCTCTAAGTTGAGGGTGGTTGCCCAGTACTGAAAGGACAACATTCAGCCCTTTGCCGACACCAAACTCTAGGGACTCCTGACCATCACTTTGGGCATCTTCAGTGTATTTGCCATAAGCCTTGTGCTGTAGGATGTTCAGGGTTGCTGCGGTTATCTGATGGCCTCGCCTGGTGAGTGTGACGTAAGCAGCCTTTAGGAAAGAGTTCGCAGTTCCCATTTTCTTTCTTCCTATAGTCTATTTCCCTATGCTTTGCAGTATTAGACGGTCTCGCAGGACAGACAGTAAAGTGGTGAAACCTGAATTTTTTTTTCCTGGATTCGCCCCTGATTTATAGCGGCCACTCAAATCCAGTATCGATTGGTTCCATATCTAAAAATGTTCATATACCATTACTCCATCGCTGTGCCAAATTTGGTGCTTTCATCATTAAATGCACAATTGTTATGAAAATTGTAGCTATGCCGCTCCACTATCAAGGCCATCGAGTAATACGAGTTTTATTAGTACCGTCATGATACAAACTTAAAACCTTGTTAAGAGACTCCCCAGCTTGACAACAAAGACCAAATTACGAGACTCCTCAGCTTGAGAACAAAGACCAAACTACGACTCCCCAGCTTGACAACAATGACCAAACTACGACTCCCCAGCTTGACAACAATGACCAAACTACGAGACTCCTCAGCTTGACATTTCTATCTTCGTGACGTTAGGCTGGACTGCTAGAAGTGTGCAGCACCAGGTGACGGCTTCATCTGTCAACGACGCCAGATTTATCGATATTGATAGATAATGAAACAACCTAGCCAGAAAAATACAGATACCGAGTCGATAAAAATCACATGGCTGAGCCAGTCGACAGCTTGAACTCTTCAAGGCACCTGATATACAGTATATTTATCTCAAGGAAGTATTATGTAACATTATCTAGAATAGTACACATAGCATGGTGGTAATAACACATGAGAAGGTTACCACGGCTACCACTTGGATATTTATTTATCATCCGTCGTACCTTTTGATCATCTTCAAACGATCAGAGCAAGCGAGTTGTCAAAATAGAATGGACCGACCTTACAGATAAGATAAAAAACAGTCCAGTAGAAGTTAACAGTAGAGAAAGAACAGTCCGGCATTCCAAGAGTTGTCCCTGCAGCCAATCACCAAGCACCTTTACACACCCGGCCAAGACCTGCAGATGAAAACTACGTCCAACAGAGACGCATACCACGGGTGTTTTACTTAAGAGAAAATTGCGGACCTCAAGTGGTTATGATGAGGTTTACTTATGATGAAAACTTTCAAGAGAACATGGGAGTCCTCTTTCGATACAGTTTATGGACCGATCTTTTTTCTCTGAACATAATTAACGGTGGTGAGAAATATCGGATGCCTGGGTTGAGGAAAAGTAAATTACTAGTACTTTGATATAAAAAAACTCATGGTGGAAATATAAGCTGAACTTCATATTACGTTGTACTTCCGTAGAGCGACCATGTCATGGGAAGAGGTTGGTATTATATACTTCAAGTAATTTGTTGGCACTATATATTTAAAGTAATATATTAAGTTTGCTTTTACTGATGGGACGACAGGCTCACAACTCGAACAACGAAACAAGTATTACTAGTGCTTCAGTGAGGACTACCTCAGGATCCCCAAGACAATGATCAGTAAATAATGGAATCGACTTAATTTGTTTTGGGAGGACGTAGCGGTTATGACCTATCAGCGAGACGAGTCCTGCAGTATCAAGACTTAACGGAGCAAGAAACTCTGCTGACGTGGACATCAAAACCGACACGTTCATCTAGGAGTATCAGCAACACTTTTATAGTTATTATATAGAAGCCAATACGGAAGATTTCAAAAGTGAATTAAATGGCTAGTGAAAACCGAAGTCAATGTTTGCTCCCACGACAAGGTCATTTGGAAGACTAAATACTCAACCACTCGTACCAGAAACTAGGCAGTCGTTTACTTCCCAATTCATAGAGCTCAGAATATTACTTACTAAACAGGTGGCTGAATTTGACAGTGATGTACACATTAAAAAAATGTATACGAAGAGGTGCAGTATCTCAAAAACTAGTGTCCACACTGAAAACATTACGAGACCATGGATGATAAATATTCGGCGTAATTAATTTGATGTTCGGTTACCAAATGTAGTAGGATCAGTCTGCCACAGACACGCATACCAATCCTCCCGGGACATCACGAGATGCATGTAGCATTTCTTTAGTCACCGCACCCATCCTGGCAGATATTTTCGAGATGCTGCACAACGAATTTAAAAATGAACACTACGATTCCCGTTTCTATAGGGTTGTCAAAATCCTCCGTCCGTTGGGTCATTTTGTAAGGATATTCTTTGGAGCGTGTGTATAGCTTCTTAATATCACAACAAATCTCAATATTTTACTTACTAAACAGGTGTCCGATTCGTAAGGCTCCGTGCAGATCAACTCCGGTTCCCTCAAGCTGTAACCAGACAAGTTCACATTAGTTCCTCTGCAACATTCGTTACTGTTCATTAATGGCCAGAAGAACCTGAATATGGTGGGTAACAACCTTCATAAACATTGGATTGTGGAAAATGTCATATTTCAGTTCTCACTTTGCAGTATATCAATCCAGAAACCTCTATTCATTCATTCATTCATTCATCACAGATTTGCTTTTCGATGAAGATCTTTCCAAAAACTATAAGTACTTGTAGGCAATATACACCAAGAGGAGGACTGTTTACAATGTCTAACACAAACTTAGTAACTTATGGGGGTTAATTTCACACCTTATTAAATAGCAACAGTTTGCTTGAGTAAATATTTAAAGACCTTTAGAGGAAGTGACGAGCCCTTGTTCCAATAAGACGGTCTCGTATCCCTCTCATTCTAGGCTCACTATATACTGTATGTTCTGTCACCCATAGCACTATCCTAAGCATCTGTGATCTGGTATTTTTACCTTCCACCTTTCCAGCCCACATGTGTTAAGTGATGCTGACTAGTTAGCTTAGGGTTCAGTTAGTGTAAGATACTTCACCTCTGAACATTACCATCACCACTAACCCACACCCCGTGTACCCGTATGGATATATCAGTTTGTGGTAAAATTTCTTAGGTAAGGTCACCAGGTCAGCTTGGATGGGGACGACTCTGCCTATGTTGTACATTGCCATGCACCGATTATTACAACATGGTAAAGTTCGGTTTTATTACCAGTGTGACGTGAACCTCGCCACTCGCACAAGGATGGATAGTGAACGCTGAGACGGTCAACGCCTTACCATCTCGGCAAGTTCCTAACCAAACTCTTTCAATATTCAGATCATTAAAGTAACTCAAGGATCAATTTAACACTGGACAACATTTATGAGAACCAACGGATATGGCGTGGTTGGTGACGTCATACCGAGGCCGAAAATGTCGATAAAAAAGGCCAAAAAAAATTTTCACACTCGTGTCGGTGATTAACATTTGAGACCGTGTTTATTCCAGTTGACTGTTACGCGAGTGTAACAACTTGCAAAATTATGTACTGGACATAAGCTAATTTTTTTGCAGATCTCAAACTCCGCTCTATCAGTTTCCTCAATACATCTAAAGTGGCGTTACTCTGACACCTTGTTGAATGATTTCCAGAAGCAAACTTTGCAACCGAGAAGTGCGTCCTAGTGTATTTATTGCCACTGCCGGTTTATAAATGCTTTAATTTCCGGTCAAAGAGTTGAGCAAGACCTGGAGGTTTCCTACATCTGTGTCCATCCTGATGAAGCTGCCCATGACAAACTGCGCCATATCCTCCAGAAGAATACCAGTCTACTGTAATATTTTCCAAATGTGATTTCACCAACTGCGTGCAAGATGAAGTGTTCCTTTAAATGGCTAAATTGCCGAGTACAAATAGTGGCGCATGAATCGAGCATTACACCAGCAAAGTCTATAGACCAAGTCTCTGAAGGACGCCATTAAAAAAAAGGATCATGCGAATCAAGAGACTGCACTGATGCTCTTCTCCCAGTGTCAAGTTCAGCACACAGGCCCAGAGTTGTCGTCTTCACTCGTCACAAACAAAACAACCTGGTTCAAGCACAATTGACGAACGTTTGGATTAATCAGGATTTAACAGTCTGCTTGCCGATATAACAAGAGCCAAAAATAACATTGAAGGGAAGAATAATTGGGTCAGACAGTGACAATGACACCTGGAGTTATATTATAGCTCCCAGCAGGTTATCTTGACGAGAAAGCCATCCAGCGTTTGAAGAATTAAAGGCGAAGGGTTTTGATAGAAGCGTCGGAGGAGAGATGCTCCCAACCATACTTTATTATTAGACAAGGAAACTAGGAACTGCTGGGGCTTTTTGCGGCGATCTCATTACGGACACCCAGGCTGTAAATGAATGGGTAACAACCATCCATATTCATAATAAACTCCGGAATACCTTTAGGGAGCAAATAATCATGCAGACAACTTACAAACAAGGAACAGTCAGGATGGCCAACAAGCATGCAGATCATGTGAAAACCTAACGAGCTAGACTGCTGAAGTCACCAGTTCCCGGAAACAGCTTGGCGCAAGTCTGTTGCGCCATCCACAACCAGCGAGTCGATAAACCATTCAGTAAGAAACTAATGAATTAACGTTCTTCACAAGTACAACCACGACGAAGCGGACACCAGCCTGGTGTAGCCGATAGTGATGTGGTGGTGGACTAAAAAAAAAAACACTAATGTCCTCTTTCTCTTGGTAAAGGCTCTAGGCACATAGAAAATGAAACCAGGAATGGTGTATGAAATATGACCACAACGCGAATGTGGATATAAAGGGGTTTTACAGGTTTCTCGGTCGAAAGAAATGCCTCGCCCTTCCAGCTGTGAATGCAAAGACAGGCTATGCTACACCGGCACACATGTTTAAGGGGAGGTAAGGAACAGGCAAGAAAAGCTCACCGAAGGAAGACTCCTGGATGGTTGAAAATACGAGTCTTGTCAGCAAGAAGTTCTGGGAAATGCAGAAGTGTTTCTTCGCTTAGTTGTCTAAACAGGAAGGCAGACAAACATTCCAACAACAATACACCTCCCACCTGATCCTAATTGTTGCACAAATCACAGCGCGGTGCTTCATCAGCTACGGGTGGAAATGGTGCGAAAACGAAAGCATCTTGTCTGGCTCACTGGAAATAAGTTAACACCATTGTTGAGAAAGAGGCACATCAGCTACCAAGAGATTAGAGTTGTCTAGCTTGTACTACAGACGGGCAAGTGGAGACAGAATTGAGGTGTATAAACATCTCAAAGGGCACTACTCAGTCGAGTGACCATACCTGGAGGTAGCGGATGTTCGCCCCCACAAATGGTCACCCCTCTAAGGTTGAAGCCACAAGTCCAGAAAACTGAGGGGGGTAACTTTTTCGGAGTGAGTTATGAAGTCGTGGAACAACCTACCACAGTGTTGTGACGGCACAGAGTGCGAGCCCTTTCAAGACCAGACTAGAATAACACTGGAGCAGGTTCAGACACATTCAGGAGCCAGTGCATGCCTAGTACTTGCCAACAGTGTGTAAGATACGTGACCGACCGCCCTAGTGGTTAACGAGCTGATCAGTGGCGAAGAGGAAAAAGGTAAAAAAAAGGAGACCTTGCTGAAGAGGCTGATAAAGGGGCATGCCGAGAGCGAAGCAGAACCGCTAAAAGGAAGGCGCACGAGAAGGAGTCAGATGCAGTACACGAAGCAACAAATCAAGGACCAGTATCTTGCAGTATCAAGAAGTCGATTAATTTAACTCAAGAAGCTACGCTAGGTTATTGGGTGGATGAAGCAGAGGTAGAGAGCTTCTGTATCATTGAGCGCTAGTGATTGGCAAGTTTGATACTTAAGCGTGCAGGTTCCAGTGAATAATCTTTCATGAATCCGCAAAATATAGAATGAATCTTTATATTCTATGCATATATAATTATAGAATTTGCATTTTTTTTATGTATGACAAAAGATCTCCTTTATTAAGTTAAACCCCCAATATAACCTCATCGACCACGTAATATCCAGCGATTCTCAAATGTTTCGTCCTAATATGATCTTCGCGAATTCATGATCTGAACTTGAAAAGTTTGGTCAAGGAGTTTACCCGACTACTGTAGCCGGCACACCCTACAAGTGATGCAAGCAGTCTAGTGGGGGTGCCCCCCCCCTCCTCGCAGCCTCTAGTGGGGGGTGCCCCCCCCTCCTCGCAGCCTCTAGTGGGGGTGCCCCCCTTCCATCAGTCTCTAGTGGGGGTGCCCCCCCCTCCCAGCAGTCTCTAGTGGGGGGTGCCCCCCCCCTCCCCGCAGTCTCTAGTGGGGGTGCCCCCCCCTCCCCGCAGTCTCTAGTGGGGGGGGGGCGGCAGCTGATGGCAATAACAAACGGCAGATGCTTCCACAACTATCTCTTTGAACAAAGCCCTGTAACCTCCAGCGACCACCTACCTATAATCATGACCATCTCGGCAACACCAAAAACTATACCAGCTCCACCAAAGAGGATCGCCAAGCAGACCGACTGGGAACTATTCAACGAAAAAGCTACAGCCAAACTTGAGGCCAAAGACATGACAATCCTGCAGACCATAGACATTCAGCCGGTTAACAAAACAGACGAAGAAATCAACACATGGTGTGAAGCTAAAGGAACAGCCTACCAGGAGGCCACCCCTCTCAAACGCAACAGAACTCTCCCACAACAGACTCCAGAACTCGTAGCCCTCACAAACCAGTTCCAACTGCTACAACAGAGAGCAGACACCCATGGTTGGGATACCGTAAGCTACAATACATACAGAAGAATACGGGAGGAAATAAAAGCAAGATCCCTGGAACAAAGCAAACTTCAATGGGCCGAAATAGTTTAACAACTCTCACTTACATACAACCATACATACAAACATCCATACAAACATCCATACAAACATCCATACAACCATCCATACATCCATCCATCCGAGTTCTGGCGTCGAGTTACAAGACTGAAAGGTTGCAGCCGTAACGCGTCATCATATATAACTGACCACTAGGGTGACAATAGTGCATAGGGGTGAATTTCTAAAATTGATTAAATGGAATGGCCATTGGTCCAATACTGCATACCCATGAAAAAAGAACACAGGCGAAATCCTGGGTCATTTGGACAATATTTAGAGGTAGCTCAAGTCAATTGAAGTTTTATCCTTTTGGCAAAAAATACGAATATTCATAATATGCCGGTTTATTTTAAAATTTACATATTGAGCAAGTTTGTGTACACTGTACATATAAATGATTAATTCCTTTTTAAAATGAAACTGCAGTGAACACGCTTACATCAATGGGTGGGAGAGGTGTGGACAACCCATTCATTGTTTTCGCTTTTTGCTTGTAAGGTCCTGTTTTGATGTCCCTGGTTGTGACCGCCTCTGCTCTTCAACAACCTGCAGCAGATGTTGACGCTGGTCTTCACTCTTCGTG